TTTGATTTCTGTACTTATATTAATATATCAAAATAGTTTGCAATACAAGTTAAGGAATAAAATAGGAACAAAAAAAAAAAAGACAAGAAATTGGAAATAATAGAAGAGATAATAAGAAAAAAAACCATAAAATAAAATTTTGCAAGTTAAACAATTGTGGAAGAAAGAGTTAGTAAAGACTTATCTATATAAATATAAAATACTACCTTATACATTAAATAGGGTATGCATTTATATATAATAATTTATAATGTAATAATATACATTTAGTTATTATTTATTATATAATTATTATATACAATTATTTTACCTTATCATTTTCTTTTCTTTCATTATTAATATCTATTACATGCATATTAAATCAAAAAAGAAAAGAGATAGAGAAGCGCTTTTTTGTTTTCCCTTTCATGTAAAAACCAAATTAAGTTTTAACACATATAAAACTTTTCATATTCTACTATTGTTTATTAAAATATTAGTTATATTTATTATATTTAAATTTAATATAATTTTAATATTAAATTTAAATAAAGTATTTGTAATAGCTAGAGAACTCTTAATCTTCCTTCTCTAAGCCTCAAAAGTAAGTGTCTTGATTAATGGTATATTCTAATTCATGGAACCTCTCACTCTACAAAACTAAAATTTTGATGCCCTAAAAGTAAGTGTCTTGGTTGATGATATTTTATAATTCATGGAGGCTCTCACTCATGTTATTCATCTAAACCAAGTCAATAAACAAACATTTAGTTCATGTATATCTATATCACTTTTAAGTACAATTTCGTTTGGTTTTAATATATACTTAAGATGCCTAGCTATTATTTGTTTTTTTATCACAAACTTTAGGTTAATTTTTCATCATATTCTTTAACTTTGAAGATTTTAAAAGAGGGAGAGATACCAAAATTAATGAGGCATGAATATCATGCAATGCTATTATATAAGATGTGGAGCAAAACTTTGGATCTTATAATATAACTAGTTTTTTTTGCCCGTGCAACGGTTTTATTTTTTATTTTTTCATTTATCTTTTTTTTATTTATTTGGTAAACTATATTTATGAAATATCAATGATATAACGAAGATGAAATGAAATAAAACTATTATTCAATGGTGACTTGTGGTCAGGCTCTAAGAGCTTTCTATTATTCAATACTTACTTGTGGGAGATCATTAAAAGTTTCGTAATAAACAATATTTTTTGTGTAGCCTTCATGGTCTTGTTCGTCATGGCCAATGAGAATCTTTAGACCAGTTGGAGATGTCACTCTAGATGTAGCTACATATAATTGGCCATGGCTGAAAACAGGATTTGGTAGATATAGGCCAACATGATTTAGGGACTGTCTTTGACTCTTATTAATTGTCATTGCGTAACACGACCTTAAAGGAAATTGTCTTCTCTTCAATATGAATGGCCACTTTGATTGCTGTGAAGTCATTGTAATTCTTAGTATTAAAACCTTTTCGCCAATCTTGTTTCTTGTCATGATCTTGCCTTCAATGACCCATTCTCCCAACTGTGTTATTTTTATTCTGGTGCCATTACACAGTCCTAAACTTGGGTTGACATTTCTCAATAACATAGCTGGCATTCCTTTCTTCAACTTTAGGCAATG